GTAATACTAATTATATAGAACTTTATTCCGTCTTCATGTCCCTAAGGAAAGTTTTTGATTTGGGGTTCTAAATTTACATAAAGAGGTTCGATCATTTCTATAAAGTTAAATCAGGTGAGGTTAAAAATTGAACTGATATTGATATATTTAACAATATCAAATCAAAATAACACAATGATATCAGGAATGCCCTATCATACGTCACAAATGAGATATCACAATATCAAAATAACACATAATATCAGGGACGCCTGATCATACATCACAGATGATATCTAACAATATCAAAATAACACAAAATAACACATATCATGGACACCCGGTGTCATATCATGAAGTATCCGGGAATACGTTTTTGTCCATCAGAAAAGCATCCCCTCTATCGATATTTGTATCTAGGGGACAATTACCTTAAATATTAGGAGGGAGATACATCTATGATTGTCATATTATTATATATTATATGTATTATGGAAGGCGGGTGGCATATAATAATTCTATATTCTCATCATCATCATCATCATCATCATCATTCTTTATTCCTCAAAGCTGAGAGTACAGAAAAAGAAAGTTTAAAGCGAAATGGATAAATTTACATGAAGAAAATGAGTGCTAAAAGCACATTGCAATCATGGATCACTTTTGACCAATTTTCTGAGCTCAAAATACATTTATATTTCACAGTTCACCAGCATGGAAATAGATTTCCGCTGTTTTATGCAGTAGATAGGCACAGTCCTTTGTAAATTCCTCTGTTATAGAATTACTTTCAAATTCAAATCCCGAAATGTTCCCTCTAAATATTGTCTGGAGCAGGAGTTCTTCTGCAAGGCTGGACATGATCAAATATGGTTGTACACCGTAATAATCCACGACTTTTGTCATGAATGTGTCTCTCAAAATAAATGTACTTGTACATTCTGTGACAAAATGTCTTATTGTGTCGTAAACGGATTATTACACAACCTACATGTATTGTACTGTTCTACAGGAACACACGTTAGCATTTTACAATTATAAAGGACTGTCCTTTTGTCGATGTCCGTTGTTTTGAGCATGACATACGGCTTATTATAGGTAGAGTGGACAGATCGAAATCGAACGAATTCGTCATCACTGTTCATTCTCTCGATCAATAAGCGATCTTCGCGTATTTGAATAGCTCCTTTAACTAAAAGTTTCCACTGAGCCTTGGACGGGAATTCTGCGCATAGGATATAATACTGTATCCATTCTAATAATTCATATTTGGTTAAGATTGCTAGGATATCAGGGATAAACCCCATTTGCTTTGATTTCGGTCCATCTATATATTTAAGAACTCTACGAATAGAAAAACTTTTTGGAATGCTGTTTGGTGAACAATCAACAATACAACGCAAGAAGTACATTTTTCTTTTCTCAATTTCACACTGAATCCTGTGTAGTCCGACTATACTTTCGCACATATCCGATCGAGTGGATGTCCGTAGATTAAGTATATGCTTACGTTTTTGTCCATCAGAAAAGCATCCCCTCTATCGATATTTGTATCTAGGGGACAATTACCTTAAATATAAGGAGGGAGATACATCTATATTGTCATATTATTATATATTATATGTATTATGGAAGGCGGGTGGCATATAAAATTCTATACTGTGTGTTCTTTTACTTTAAAATGTTCTGCATCTTTTTTGAAAGTCTAACTCAGTAATACCCATACTTTGTGCCACACACGTACCACCATTTACAATTTATGTAAAAGGCCCAAGACCATATAGTTCCCCTCTGATAGATAACAACCCAGAAATGCAACTGGTCAGAATCCATCTTCGTAGAAGCCTTGAATTCTTTCAGTCTTATATAGTGTATATACAGACAGTTTACTTATAACAATTATAAAAGTCTTGGATCAATATTATTTCAGGAACCAGTCTTTGGCTCATTTGAATACAAAACAGAAAGAAAAAAATCAGTCACTCTATCATTTCATTTATTATGTCACACGTAGCAGAAAGCATTAGGTTTGATAGAATGTGTACAAAAACAAGAGGTCCATAAGCTCTGTAACGCTCTGGATAGGAAAGCCCACCAATGTCATACATGCCTATAGGTTGAGTATTTTAAATATTTCCAAATTAAAGCTCTATCACTTAAGCTCTTTGATGGGACAAGACCAATGGGTAAATTCTTATATCATTACTGTCTTTATCTCTTGATGTCCGCTACTGCTATATATTGTTAAATATAAACCTCGTTCCCCCTTGATATTTTTTCTGACAACCATCATTATATGTATCCCTCATAGATAAATGATAAATCTTCAAATTGAATTTCACAGTTGGCATTCACATTGCTCGTGAAGGCAGATTAAATGCAATTCGTTGTTCATGTTTATCATTTTCATTACACACACGCGATTGCAGGACCCTTTCTATATAAATTTCTTCAACATTTTCCTACATGTGAAATTCTCACCCGCGATACGTCAGGAGGATAAGGAAACACGTTTAAAGATCCTGTAAAGACATCTATAGAAGACAAAAGACGACGTTATAACACACTGTTTTCGTCTCGATTTACTTTCAAGAATTCTAGCCTTTTGATTTCTCTTTGGTTAAATGCCATCAACCTTGGCATGTCATGTCTAGTCGTTTTACTTATCTTGCAACATTGATTGAAAATTGGACAATCAAATCTTCTGTAGTTCTGTTGTCCACGCCTTGTTTACCTGTCGTGGAAATTTGTTTGATGACGTACGCCGAAATAATTGCTCCGCTCAGAAATGTAGTTCGAAACTTCAACAGATATAACAGCGATTTTATCAATTTTTGTTAATAAACTTATTCATTACAACTTACAAAATCACTTATTTCAACAGTTATTTATATAATTAAACGTATTTTTCTATCATTTCACGTAATTTTAAAGTAACTTCAGAGTGTAATTCTGTCGAATTATCGCACGTGCTAAAACACAAGTTTTCTGTCATCGCAGAAAATAGAGCAGAAATGCCTGTGGCAGGTGTATTCCAACAACAGCAGTCACAGTAGTAGGAAAGGGAAGCCAAGTTAACATATCAACAACAAGATAATGTATTTATAGTTTATCACCTGTTTAATACATTTACTGATTGTATCAAACTGATCTATTTTCCAGCTCGTAAATTACAGAATGAAGTATCATGAATTGTTATTTCCAATCATCTAGAACAAGCATAACATCACCATTGACGTACTAGTGAGTTCTGAGTACTTATTGTACGGTTTACTTACTTTTCTTGGGTGGTAAAAATGTATGATTAGGTGAAAATGCCAACGCCCAACAATTCTAATTTCACTTGTTTTCTAAATTGAAGGAAGTTTCATCTATTAGGAATTCTAAATAAGATTTCTTCACCTGCACTATCTTTATAATCAATTATTATAGTTACATTTTATGTACTTCGTTTAAAAAGTTTTATCTTTATTTATTAATCGTCGATAAAAATTATGATGTGTACGATTGTACAAAAGACACCAGTGAATAGCACCCTTAATAGAACCTTCAAGTTAGACACAGTAGAGCCAAACAATGAATTAAACTGTATCATACAGCTGTTTGTCCTTCTTAGACTTGTCAATGATGCTAAGGGTCTGAATTTTGAAGCCAAGACTGAAGAAATTCCAAAGCGATCGTAAAAATCTAGATGTTGAGATGCACTATTCACCTGATTCAATAAATTTTGTAATTTTTATATATCTTATCATTCAGCAACAAAGTCCAGTGTATGTGTATATATTAAACTGTGCTACTATTTGGATGAATTAAAAATATGGCATGCAGGTTATGGCAAATTACATTTGTGATGTAGAGCTATAACAAAACAGTATGTACAGCGTTTATCCTCAGTTGTCTTTGTTTTTGTTTACTCTGAAGTCCTTCAATATCGTCCTTAGTTGTGTCGGTGAAGGAATGTATATATAGTAACAGATTCAGAAAAAACTTTTTTCAAAGGATTGTTGGTAGATTAATATATCCTTGAATAGTCAAAGGTGAGTGCACCCTGAAATAATTTCGCACATCTAGTTTGACTAAGTTTGAATATTTTAAGTCACTGACAAGTCCTGAAGGATGAAACAGCAGCATGTTTCGAAATAGTATCAAATTTTAAATGAAAAAATAAATATTTTGTATACTCCATTTTCCGAGTGTCAGGATAAAGCAAAAGTTAATTTCTGGAACACTTGTTCTAATTCTCCTGTTTATCAATAGTGACCTTATCATTCTTTGTGTTAGACTGCAATTAGAAGAATTGTTGAAGTAACTACCAATTAACGACATCAAAACAAAAATCTATTCTCTGTACTCAATATAGAAAACTATGTAAGGAGATTCAGCGAGATAACACGAGCTGTTTGAGAACAGCATACCTGCTCTATTGATAACATTTTTCATGTAAATACAAATGTTTACCCCTTTTGGGCTCCATATATCTATATTGGTAAAAATTCATATTTATGTTTGACTATCTAATAATCAACAGCATCTTGAAATCTGTGATCTGATACTGTTTGAAAAAAAAAATATAAGTAAAAAAGTGAGTGGGTTTCTGACCTTTGCCAGATGACTACATCAGCCCTGCTATTCTTTAAATTGGTGAGCTAAAAAGAATATTCTTTGCATTTCAAAATAAAAGTTATTGCCTTCAAGACATTGTCATAGTGAATTAATCACATTACATATTGTTGTACAAGAAAAAAGTGTATAAAATTGGCAATAATAGGATTCGATCACATCAGAAGATTGATAAAAATTTCATGATCAGAAACAAAACTAAGTAACGGAGACTTTTCTCTAACAAAAGTCTTATAATTAAGAATGGGTATCAATGGTTCACAATGATTCACAAGCAATATCTAATAACCTTATATCTTGCAGAAGTTTTGTTTTTTCATTTCATTACAGTGAAAAAGAGATCTACAGAAGTTTCAAAGTCAGACTGATCCCTTCTGCTGATATAGATTGAAGAGCCAGAGGATCTTAACAAGTACCAATAGAAGAACCACATACACATAACAGATGTATTTGAGCAGATGGTGCAGAACTGGAGATTTCTTGGCGAATATGCACCTCTATTAAAACGACCCAATCCTGGAATCAACTCCAATGAAAATCTGGTGAAGACTTCAGTAACATATTGTCAGCATTGATTGTTGAACTGACGAATCAAACAATTTTCTAAACGCATGTTCTTGACTTTTATCCTCTTATATACACCACAGTGAATATTATTTTTGACATATGAGTGCTTCGTATTTCAGAATTCTTCCTTAATGTACTCCCTTACTGATATAAACTAAATACCACTTGTTCTGACAGGATAGTGTTGTTGCCTTCATTGAGAATATATTCCTCCTTGATAAAGTTTTTTTTTTTATTTGTCGTTCAAGCTGCATCTGTTTTCTTGAGTATCATATCCATGTAGGCACCAGATAACAAGTCTGATTGTTTTACACCGAGTTTGTCCATCAGATCCTCTGCAATCTGCTGTCCTTCCTCCGTTGTCTGTCCTTCTTTCATCATTACCTTAACCAAAAGTAAAAATCATCTTCATTTGTTGTGATGAAAATTTTAACATTATCATACAAACTCAAGACAACAAAGAAAGTTTGATGACCACCATTGAAAGACAAAGGACTTTTTAGCTATACAGGTAGTTTTTATCCCTCCTCTTTTTGATGAAACACAAAATCAGTTGAAAACTGAAAACGATCTCCAAACAAAATAAACCTTATGAAAACCACAAAGGACAGTAACTCTTCAAAATACACTCTAATCTAATTCCCATTTCAGAAAACATCACTTCATGTCATGGTGATGAAGCCTACCAAGTTTGAAAGAAATCATTTGCAGACTGAGAGAGATCTCTGACAAGATTAACATTTTGAAAACAAGGGGCAGTAACTCTTCCAAATTCATGTTGACTCAAACTGCTATACTGGAAAACACAACTCCATGTCACGGTGAAAGTATTTTGACGAGCATATAAAAATTACTGTATAATGTTACCATGATTATGAATTGTTTTCTTTTTGTTATTGCCTTGTGGTCATTTATTTTTACAATTAATGTTGGTCTTTATTGAATATGCACTTACTAATAATAACAAACAGAGAATTTTTTTAATTGTAGCAAAGAAAAGTGATGAATTGGGAAGGAAATTATCAGAAGTAAATTGCAAATGTGGGGAATTTTGCTTCAATGAAATGACCTCAAATAGCACTTGACGATAAAAGGCTTTTTCATCTTAATATCATAAACAAATCAAAACAGAATTTAACTAATCTGTTAACATTCCTAATACAATAATTTAAGTTTGATCACTCCCTCACCTCTAGTTCCATGAAATCACCGAGCCCTTCAACATTATCCACATGTACTCGTGTCTGACCAACCATGTAAAGTTTACGCACTTTTTTCACTACACCTTTGATGCCCAAGGCTTGGCGTAATGTCTCCTAAAGATAAAAGGAAGAGAAAGAAATTGTCACATGTCTTTAGAATAATGTAAATAAATAGATAGCTGGTTAGTAATCATACATGGTATTTCTATTTCATAAAACGCTGGAAATTTTTTTCCCCAAGATAACAATATCATTAACTAAGACTGTCTATAGCCACAATTTTTTAGTTTTTTTAAAATTATCTAAACATATTACACTTGGTATGATATTGGCTAACAATGAATCAGCTATTTTAACACAGGTCCTCCTAGATATTGGACAGAATATGATGGAAGGGAGATAATTCAACTGCCACTCGCCTTTTAATAATATGTCTACATTGATTTTTTATTTAAAGTGATTTTTTGGTCCAGAAATATGACAATAAAGTATGTGCAAATAAAAAAATACACAGAATGATAAGACAGACTGAGTGAAATAATAATTAGATTCCATGTGAATTCTATAATAAGTTCATTAATATGTAAATGAAATATAAAGTCATTTGAAAACTAATCAGCATACATGTATAAATATAGAAAATGATGTAAGCCTCTAGATGAACAATTTACTTGGAAATAAATTTATGTGAGGAAAAACTGTAGAACTTAATTAATTAGTAACTTACTCCATAAATAATAATTAAGTTAATTTAATTAGAGTATGGTGAAATCAAATTAACATAAAAATTAAAAGATGTCTGTCAGTCATCATATCTCCTACATTCAGATCTATAAATCTTGGTGATTATGTGAATTTCATTATATGAAATTTACTGACGAAGGTGCATTACAACTACAAAATTACCTTGAGAGATTCTGGATTACCAATATCTGTTTTGCTGTAGTCACTGAACTTGGGTCCAATTTTGTCGGGTCGGTCATAAAAGATAAGTTCTGACCGAACATCCTAAAAAAAAAGCAAGCACAAGTCACTTTGTAAAAAATGTACCTGGTAAGTCAAACATAATAAAAAGAAATGCTTATGAGGAAAGTTTATCCAAAAGCAGCAGCATTGGATTTCTGAGCAATCCAAAATAACACTTGGTCAGGACCATCTCGGGCAAGTTTCAACTCAATCCAACAGGTGGAACTTAGGAAAAATTTAAAATAGGTATTTTTCAAGGAGACCATGATTGTGCAATCATGTTTAAAAAATGGCTGCCATATTGAACTTCTGGTGAGGCGAAAAAATAACACTTTTCAGCTTCCCTTCCTTAACATTCCCACCAATTTTCAGCTTAATGGCACCAGTGGAATTTAAAATGGGTAAAATGTATTTTTCAAGATAGTGGCCATATTTGATTTCTGACTAACCCAAAAGACAACAATACTTGGTAAGGACCATCTCATGATCATTTCATGCATGTTTTCAGCTCAATCCTTTTGGTGGAATTTAAGAAGTTTAAAATAAGTATTGTTCAGAGACACCATGACTGCAGTCATGTTACAAAATGGCTGCCATTTCGAACTTTTGACAAAGCTGAAAAGTGAAAATATTTTGTCGGCTTCCAATCTTTAAGATTCACACCATTTTAAAGCTCAATGGCGCCACTGGAACTTCAGAAGAAGAATAAAGTGGTTTTTCAATATGGTGGTCATAATGGATTTTAGACGGACTTGAAAAATAACACTTTGTAAAGACCCTCACAGAATCATGTCGGACAAGTTTCACCTCAATGTCACTAGTAGAACTTGAGAAATTTAAAATGTAAAGAATTAATAATTATTCAATAATGCATTCTTCGGACAGATATGCAAGTTCTGATCGACCAGGACTTCAAATGGAAATAACAGGTCAATTTCCACTGAAAATTATAGATCTACATTTTTAAAACAACTAAGATTTGTTACAATGAAATCAGTGTGGTACTTTGTGGAACTACCTTAATTGTTCTTAGCTTAAGTCGACCATTCGGAGAAAGAAAGAAGACATCTTCTTGCACAAGAGTTTCTCCAGATGAATGACTCAGTTCAGCAGCAATTTTTTGTACTCCTTCCACGTCATTTAACTTTGCTTTTATTTCTACGTTTCCTGGCATTTTTCTGAAAAAGATGAAATGAAGATGTATATTTTGAAGCTATAACAAAAACAAGATCTTGGCATCCTCCTTCCTTCGATCCGAACTTATTGTTTAGGTTTGGATATCATCTCAACATTTCTCATTCGTCCTGTTTTTGCTCATATTATATGAAATTTAAGCATTCCTCTTTAGAAATAGTGATAACAGTCTTTAAATGTTAAATCCATGAATGTTGCTTGTAAGTTATTTGTTTTTCTGATCAGTTCCAGAATCAGAAAGCGCAGATAGGAACCAAGGGGACATACATGCAAAATTTGAGACAGGTCCAACAAGCACTACTCAAGAAATAACGATGAAAATAATAATGTACAGACGGATGTCGGACCACAGATGTATGGCAATCTGAATACCCCACTGTCACATGATGGTGAGCTATAACTCGGATATACAATAACTAAAATATGTGGAACAGGTTAAATACCAATATGCCATGTACCACTTTCAGGGCAGGAGTGGTGGTTGAGAGGGGAGGATTCATTGCAGAGGAGAAAAGGCAACATGCTCACCGTGTCCTCATTTTACAATTTTCATTTATGAATCTTTTACCTCTCATTTATTTTTCTTATACCTTATTTATTTACTTTTTTTATATAAACTCTATGACCAACACTATGAACGTTTTTGAAGTAGACGCTTCGTTCATGAATCCATAATAAACAGGAAAACTATTGTTATGCCACATTGGTATGAAAAAAAAAAACAAACAAAAATGTGCCTTTCTTGACAATGCAAGATTTTTTTTTAAAAAGTGTTTGAAAGCATTCAAAATAACAGTTTTCGTAACACCTTTTTTCAGGATGATAATGTTAATAGAAGTTTTTATAACATAACCAGTAGAAAAATGAATTGTGACATTTCGACAACTTCACCATCATCTTCATCAGACACATGACCAGTGTGGAGCATACTAACTGATATACATAATGTAAGAGATGGTAACGAAATAACCAACTTTTCTCAGCTAAACTGTGTCACCAGTTTACCTTTAAAATGTGCAAGGGCAGAATTTGAGATTCATTCATAAAAAAAAAATTAAAATCTATCGCTCTGAACTGTTAGTCCTATAATATATGACTTCACAATCGTGTCGCTAATATTTAACATTTGTATTCGGATTTTTGACATTTACCATTTACTTGTGAAATCATATATTATAGGACTATCTGAACTGTTCAAGTTCAAGGGGCAGCACATACTTGGGTGTAATAAATAATACCAGAAGCACTGTGCCTTACCACAGATTTCTGTGATATCTCCGACTTTCATGATATCATAACAAGTATCAGACATTTTAAATAAACAATAAAAGAAAATAGAAAAGTAGGAAGAATGGACATAGAACTAGCTACTCGTATAATACACGACAACGCTGATCGGCTGGTTTACCAAAAGACGGACTTCAGACGTAGACATGTACAAATCCGTGAGTATAGTAGATCTAGATTTGATTCTCAAAATGATTAATTTGTATATGTAAGATACTTGTCATAGTGGCGTCAAAAGGTATTGTTTCCACAGAAAATATTTGAAGGCTTTGTTACTGGGAAAAATCGAATGGAATTTAGCAGAATGGAACTGATTTCAAACAAAGCTCTTTGCATCGAACGAACTGTAACATGTAGTAGGTCTAGGACCCCTTGACATACAAATACTGCATAGCAGCTCGTGTCTGTGAGAGACTTAGTTCTAATGTAGCTCGAATATCTGTCCTCCTTTATTATCCACACGACACAATATACCGAAATTGTTAGGTTGTTGGAGGCATCGCAGTTTTGGTCGACTCGACCGTCGCCCGACTTTCATAGTTAGCAATTGTAAAACAAACAACAAAGCTTCACTGATATTCATATCGAAAATATGTATCAACAGATTGGAAAGCAATCAATAATATGTGTGTTGTTAAAATTGATAAAGAAAATAACGACTATTTACATCTGATATCACACGCTTCGAATTTCCCTCCACACTGTTGCTAAGTTTCCTGTCTTTTTTAATTAGAGAGCTCCTTGACTTTTTACCTTGCATATCAAGAAAATATTACTTCGCCTAAAATAAAAAAATGGTAATGAAATTAATGTTAATCCTCTTTTACATCAGGCTAATTATAAATTATAACAAGATAATAAATACTGAACACAGTAGAGAAAACAATATTGTATTTATTTTACAAACACTGTTTTTGCGAGGGACTATATTTTGTATGTATGCCTTATCACTCATTTCCTTTTATCGATGAGAACGGATCGGTATCTGAAGCGAAACAGGTAAATTATGGTTGTTTCGAATCAAAATTACGTATTAGAACGACAAGCACGTGTGTGATTTTGTGTTATTTTCGAAAGACTAAATATTTATCTTTTCAGAAATACAGAATATAGTAGAGTCTGTCGGTGCATTTTCCTTGTAACACACTTTGTTTTCATTCCATATTAGCTTAGCTTTGCCCTATATTTGAATATCGAAGTGAATTGACCCCAGCATAGTTGACTGACATAAAGGAAGTGCATTTTTTCCTTTTTCCATAAGTGTCATAAATTGTGCGTATTACTAGATCATGACTTTTGTTTCATTTTCACGAATTGCGATAACTGTGAAACAGTTTTCATATCTCATACTCAAATATTTTTACAGACAAAGTTTGAACCTGGAAGTGTTCGTTGATTGGCTTGTAGGTTGTTGCCTTACCATGTTTTATCTTTAACTGGTGTTTGTTTTTCACAATATCAGACCGAGCTTATTTTCATGTATTTTAAAGTTTCATAATGTAAGATACTGAGCTTGTATGCGGAACTATTTTGCCAATACAGTGTTATCTGAATTGCATTGTTCAAGTTAAAATAATTCGGCTGTTTTTGTTACTGGAGTTATTCCCCTTTACACATGAAAAGTGCACGCGCGAGATATGTAAATATAAAATGTCATAAACAAACTTCAATCTTTAAAAAAATGCTTCAATATAGATATAACTTTACTATTATATATAGTATATTTTAAGTAATTCTAGAACATCTGTTAAGGGTATCCTGGTTTGACAAGTAACTTATTGTAATGTACTATGTGTAGTTAGGATCCTACAATACCACAGCTCCTTCCCTGATCAGACATTATAACAAGAAACTTAACGTTGGTGCTGCTACCTCATTGCAGTGAATTAACACACTGACATTTTGAGATTGATAATGGACGAAAATAAAACAGAGTACATGGCATCAAAATGATTGGTTCACTAAGCTTAAGAATGCGGATTCTTGTGTATTATCAGTGCTGTCAATATGAATGACAATTTCAATTTTGGTGATATGGTGAAGGGGATATTTTACAGTATGTTTTCTAGATATCTCATCAAAAGCGAATTCCTTTTAATGTCATTTGATGTTTTCATGTGTTGCAGATTGTGAGATGGTGGTTGAAACCGGTGGAAGGGGGGTCCCCTCCACAGGGATGACAGCCAGGGAGCTTTGTGACAATGATGACTTGGCCTCAGCCATAACTCTAGATCCATATCTTGGCTTTTCTACACACAAGATGAATACCAGGTTTGTCTTTTACTATCAAGCAGGATGTGTTGAACATTGTACAGCGTTATGAATTTATCACACTGTTTTCAACCAATTTTTTAATAATTAGTAATGTTTTTTAGACAGTTGTCATAAGACATGTGTGTTTGTCTCACTAGGTACCGTCCATTCAAAGGGAAAATGCAAGAAGACCTGAAAGCAGTAATAGAGCGCTTTAAGACACATCAGAACATGGAGAGAGCCTACAGAGAACTGACTGTTGGGGAGTGTGTGCGAACGTTTCTCCTCAACAAAACGAAAGCCCAACAAGCAGTCTTCAAACAACATGTTAGTGAACTGAAACAAGATGCCCTAGAATTCTTTTGCCAGTATTTGCATGTAGAAAGTTTTCAAATCCTTGGTGTTGTGGGATCAAGCATAATTTTTATGTATTATAATGAGAACATTTACATCATATGATTAGCAAATGTGACTTTATTTACCAGAAATAGGGTTAGTAACACATGCTTATTGATTAACTTTATATTTAAAAAAGGGCAAACAAGTTACAACAGTGTTACTATTTAATTGTTTCGTGTTTGATTGTTTCATGTAATAAAGAATCAATGTATCGTAATAACATTATTAAAAATTGTTATCACTTTAAAGGTTAAAATCTTTTTTGATCAAAAAAAAAAAAAAAAAAAACAGAAAAAAAGCACCAGCTTTGATGACATTTAGATATAGCTTATCAAAGTAGTTATTTAAAGGAAAAGTTTTCTTATGAAAAATAAACTTTTTTTCTGATAAGGTGTTCCGGTATTTGCGAATGTTTCATCGAGGATCAGGTTTTGAGTTGTTACCTTGTTATCGATATACTATGGAGGACCAAGTTGGAGCCAAGATCTGTGCTATACAGCAGTGGTGAGTTCAGGTTGACATAACCATTGTGGATTGTGCAATATTTGATATAAACAACCTTAATTTGAGACGATGATGACAGCGATACACATTGATCACCAGTTAGTGATCTCAACATATCTAAAAGCCTTCCATGGTCCAGGACTCTCCTGTTGTAGACATGAGAGTGCTGATGGCTCGTTTTAACAGCACAGTTGGCTAGAAAGTCTCCCTCTCTTGACAACAAATTGATTTTCCTTTCAAGGTTTCACTATGGCTGTCAGACCGGTGTGGTCTGTTCGAAAAATGTATATATTGTCCAGAAGAAATATATTCTGTATGTAGAGCAAGGTTGAAAATGACAAGTCTGTTACTGATGAAGCCACCTGCATTTATACCATCTACATCTGAGGTTGTCATCTCTGCCACCAGAAAGACATAATATGGAAGTGTTCAGTCAAAATTCATTTCTCTTCCTAAAATTATATTTGTTGCTGTCCTCAGGCAGAAGAATGACAAAATCCCAATGCTTGTTGGCTGTATTGCTGAGTTGACTAAAGAAGAAGAGGAGCAATTTTTGCGACCAGGAATCAATGATTTCAGTGTAATGTACTCCTGTCGCAAAAACTGTGCCCAGTTATGGCTTGGACCTGCAAGCTTCATCAACCATGACTGTCGTCCAAACTGCAAGGTAAATTTGGTAGTCTGTTTTAACAATCATTTACTCTGATTGTCTGAAGGCTGCTGTCCAATCTATAACTTTTGAGATGTTAGATTGTATGAGTAGACGTACCTGATGGTAATGCATTTTGGAATATGAGGAAGATATTTCAAAATATATGTTCTTGACCTCAATCTTGGGCATAACTTTCAAATGGAGCACAAGATGTTCTCTGAATGAAAAACATACCTTTCTTAAAGTGGTTCTTTCCATCTGAATTATAAACTTGTTTTAATTGTAGTTTGTGTCGACTGGTCGTGATACTGCCTGTGTTAAGGTTCTCAGGGACATCGAGCCTGGTGAAGAGATCTTCTGTATGTATGGGGAGGACTTCTTTGGAGATAATAACTGTCTCTGTGAATGTGAAACTTGTGAAAGGTACTACACATTTTTTATTTTAATCTATATTGTTGTTTCTAATGCTAAAAAAGCCAAACAAGGATTGTCTGTTTATGCCAAATCTTTACAGTCATATCAGAATTCTTGTGCAAGCTGAAAGTAAAGTTACACCATATCTCAAGTTATGGTCCATATGGTTATTTTCTTGGTGATACCTGAAGCAGGGAACTATAGATTGTTTTGAAACTGTCTTTGAAAAAATTTTGTTATTAAGAATTAAGTAATTCACCATCTTGAAGTTGCACCAAATATTTTTTCAAAAAAGTTTTTGATGATTTTTTTTTCTTTTTGTTACTAAAGGTTTTATTGTAATGTTTGTTCTACATCAGTATTTACCTTAAGCCATTATTTAACACAGGCGTAAGATGGGAGCATTCAGGCCCAAAAACTCTGCACCAGCGGATCAACTGGAAAAGGGGTACCGACTGCGCGACACTGACGACAGATTAACACGGCAGAAAATAGAGACAGAGAAAAGTCGACCATCAGCAGGGATGACTGGCGCAGCAGAATTTGGCAATGGTATTGCTGATTATAAATCAAGTAATATGCTTTTCATCTTATCAGATCGCTCTCAAGCCTTAACACAACAATTACTGCTATTAAATTTTGCATGGAAATTTCTTTTAAATTTAACCTTTCCAGAAAAGACAAAGCCAAGTATGTTGAATTTTCTTTGACGTGGATGTGTGTTTTTAACTGATATCTGGAAAAAACAAAAAGTGCAGCAGATGTGAAATGTTGTTTGGGATCACCATACGAAGGCAATCATTTTGAGTCTCAGATTGTCATGTTCAAAGGCAATATCTGTACTTGTAGTTTATTCCAGAATGTACTTAATGTATATTCCAGAATGAAGTTATAGTTTATTCCAGAATGTATCTGTTGTGTGAATGGCTGTCTTATTTGTCATTTCGTCTGCAATTTGTTATGCATGCATGCAACAGTTTTCAATCTTTGAGAAGATGACATTTTTTCTTCACTGTTGTAGAAAACTGGGACATCAGAGATGGTAACTTAAAGAAGCATTCTCATTTGCTGAAGGCTGCAGAACTGAAAAAGCGTGGAATCACACGATATGATGCAGAAATTATCCTATCTCAGGGTCTCAACCTCCCAGACCCTCAAGTAGTCATTGAAACTAAGCTCCCTTCATCTATCAATCAAAACAAGACTGTTAAAGCAAGCTCTGTCCTGGCACACATGAACAAACCTTCAAGAAAAAGTCGGAAAAGATTAAAGCGTTCTCATGGTGGTAAATTTGCTCAGGAATCTGTTCATTATGAGAATAACAATCAAACTAAAAATGAAATGTCTAATGCTGTCGTGTGTTCCAAGATCAAATCGCCGTGCAAAAGAATGAGCTTTAGTTTTGAAGAGTGTGAGACTGATAGCAATGATGTGGTAAAAAATGATGAAGTGGTCAGTCATCCAAGAGAGAAAAATCACTTACAATCTCAATCAGATGAAGGTTTGTTTGTAATGGTTAACCATAGTTTGGATGGAAAAGCATCTCAAGCAATCAAGGGACCAGGGTGTTCTTCTGCTGGGCTTCGTAACTCTCCAAAGTGCCGCAGTAGTCCTCGTTTAAGAGGAAGAGGCTCTGGGCTTTCTAGTGGAGGTGATGGGCCTGCATCAGTCTGCGCTGACATAACTAACCAGGAGGATGGTGGGTTGCTGTCTCCATTACACATAAAGACAGAACCCCTGGATGATGTCCAACTCCCACGTCAGAGTCCACGTTTCAAAATGGGAAGGACAGCAGAAATTGTGAAAGAAGAATGTTTAGACTCCTGTGTTCCTAGTGTTCCTGTACCTTCTGTCATGAAGCATATTGTAGATGATAAGAGAAATGACTCATGTGTTTTAAGCAAAATTAAAGTGGAGCCAGGCTCAACAGTTAAATCCGAGTCTGTATCGCCAGGACCAGGATCATACACTCGATGTTCTGTTCGGGCCTCCCCAAAACTTACACGAGTGAACACTTGTGAACGGCAGAGAAGACTTTCTTGTGGTTCAAACAATAAGATCCCAAAACTTTCACCATCAGTTCCTGTGAGACAAAGTCCACGACTTCATGTTAAACAGTTAACATCATCAGACACAGGAGAATTTGAGAAGGTTAAACCTGCTGCAGCTATTAACCTCTCAGCAAAACTTGAGCATGATTGTCACTCAGGGAATACATCAGACATCCCAATGTTTTGTGATGCTGGGAAGAGCTTGTATAGTTCAAAACACAACCTAGGTGTTGCCTCCCATACCGATGATGAATTCAAGATATGGGAGTCAGAATCTGTGTTTGATCAAAGCCAGGGGAAGTCAGAACGCTTAGTTGCAACAATGGCTGAACCTCCGTCACAGCAGCCCATTCATGATATTTTAACACGTCCATTTGTAGCTACAGAAACAAAGGCAGTAGATCATGTTAATCATATAAAACAGGAACCGGTGACCAAAACGAGGAAAAACAATGTGATGTACCGCTCTGTGTCTGACCAGTGTCTGTCAACATACAACAGGCACACCAAGCACAGAGACAGAAAACGTAAGCTATCCTACTCGGTGAGCAGCCATTACGATTCCTCTCCATGTCCGTCCCCAGAGAAGAAGATACCTAAGCTTACAATTCGCCTGCGACCAGACCCAAACTTGCAGCGGGAACTTGACCAGAATCAATCGGACTATGTCATTTTTAAGATGGATGACAGTCCACGTTTGAAAGAACCTCAGGACAAAATAAACAATAACAATGATTGTGTAAAGGGGAATAACTCTTCACAAGGCAACAACTCGTCTTGTATAGAAACGAAAAAGTTTTATACCCCTCACAAATATTATTCTTATCCCAAGACTTTAAGACTAAAGCTTGGCAATGAAGCTATTGATATACCACTACCTCCCTACAGTATAGCGGAGAAGTGATATAGACCCTGGTGCAATCACTAAACATTTAAATCATTTGTTTATTAAGATGTGAATAGAAAAGTGAGCATTTGTAAAGTTATTATGGTATTTAAAGATATTTGATGTTCGTCACATGCAGAAAGGGAATTCATAACATTTACACCATTCAATATAGTTATATTTTGGTGTATAGGATTTGCCAACTAAATATTTACTGTGGGAAAATTGTATGAATTTCACAAATCTTTAAGACTTCCTTTGTTCGTTATTTTCCTTGCTAGCTAAGAAATATTGGCAGAAATTACAATTTGGTCCTCCTCCTCCTCCTCTCCCCATCCTCTATTAATTTTCAACAAGTTTTTCACTTCTTGCAACAAATATAGATTTACATGTTGATGAATTGGAGAACAATGTCAGATCATTATATTGGCATAGATTCAGATCAAACAGACAACATGTTTTCATATATAAAGATAGGTCATTTTTATTTCAATGCCTCTGCTAGGATTTGAACTTGGGATCACTGGCTTACTACTACTAGTCTGATACTTAACTGATCAAACTGAAAAGAAATTCTCTCTAGCTTAGCAGTATATTACAGCTAGTATTACATCCTGGTTACACACTTCCTCTCTAGGATATAACTTGTCCTCAAGTTTCCAGGGTTTACAGCAATGCTTGTAAGAGAATTATACCAGAGATTCTACATGGGCGTCAATGCGGTTGAATTCAAACCTTGGACCCCTGGCTCAACAAATTGAGCTAAAGAGAAATTCTTTATACTTCCGCTAGTATTTCACCAAGGTTACAAATGCTTTTTAATAAAGCAACCTAACATGTGTTTGTAGCAAATTTTTGGGGCCATAGAAATCTGTTAGATGTAGCACTTTTGCTAAAAAAATTGTTGACAAGTCTAGTTCTTGAAAGGTGACACCATTGCAGGATACAACTGGTCGACACCAGCGGATACAATCACTTTCGCTTTCTGCACCCATGGAACATGTTAAGACAAAATTTAAGGCACAAGTGAAAAAATCTTGTTGGATCCAGGAGAAAAAATCTGACCAATCACAGGTGATATGCTCCTTTTGAAGATTACAAAGGAGCAACACCTAACTGACAATATACCGTTATGCAACCTCAAGTTTGGTTTGTTGTACGTCAAAGGATCAAACTGGTCTTTTTCTTCTTGTCCACAAGATGTTGCACATGGAACCTTCATTTTGCTATGACATGTTCCAGGGGTGCAGGGAGCAAAAGTGATGGTAACCTATGGAGGATGGTTTATATCATACAAATCATGTTGTGCTCTTGAGTCAGAAACTCATCCAAATACACTGCTTATGGATACATTTAAATAGGTGAACTACTGTGCACTAAAACAGATATGAGAGTTGTGTTTTCCTAATTAATTTGCATGTTGAGGATTTTAAGTGCTATAATTGATCTTTTGCTGATGATGCCATTTGTGATCAGGAGAGTTAAAGTGATTTTGATTGTTGTATATACACCATAACTAGAGGTAAATTGGCACTGGATAGTAAACATGCTGCAGCTATATTTCTTAATACTCATAACCTTCATCACTACAATTATTTCATACGAGATTCAGAGAACCTTCTTTTACATATAGATATATAGATACCTGTCATAAACTGTTCAAAACACACACTGTACCATGATTAAATTGTAAATGTAAAAGGGTTTTAGCATCACCCTAGGAACATACCACAGTTACAGTCCTAGGGCTCAAGTATCGGCCTTAGTAACATACCACAGTTACAGTCCTAGGGAACTAACATCACCCTTAGGAACATACCACAGTTACAGTCCTAGGGAACTAGCATCAGCCTTAGTAACATACCACAGTTACAGTCCTAGGGAACAAGTATCGGTCTTAGTAACATACCACAGTTACAGTCCTAGGGAACTAGCATCACCCTTAGTAACATACCACAGTTACAGTCCTAGGGAACTAGCATCAGCCTTAGTAACATACCACAGTTACAGTCCTAGGGAACTAGCATCAGCCTTAGGAACATACCACAGTTACAGTCCTAGGGAACTAGCATCATCCTTAGGAACATACCACAGTTACAGTCCTAGGGAACTAGCATCACCCTTAGTAACATACCACAGTTACAGTCCTAGGGAACTAGCATCAGCCTTAGTAACATACCACAGTTACAGTCCTAGGGAACAAGTATCGGTCTTAGTAACATACCACAGTTACAGTCCTAGGGAACTAACATCACCCTTAGTAACATACCACAGTTACAGTCCTAGGGAACAAGCATCACCCTTAGTAACATACCACAGTTACAGTCCTAGGGAACAAGCATCGGCCTTAGTAACATACCACAGTTACAGTCCTAGGGAACAAGCATCAGCCTTAGTAACATACCAGGGAACTAACATAATCATACCTTATGCTACATTGACATCTGTCTTCATATCTGAAATAATGATCAAAGGAAGCTCTGGTGATTCTGAAAGTGAAATATTAGGTTAAACTGTAATTCTATAAGGTCTATAGAATGTATTAAAGGATTTTCTCTATCAGTATCGCATACAAGTGGACAATTTCATCTCTACAGTAAATACATGTGGAACTGTAGGGTATATGTCCATCTCTACAGTAAATACATGTGGAACTGTAGGGTATATGTCCATCTCTACAGTAAATACATGTGGAACTGTAGGGTATATGTCCATCTCTACAGTAAATACATGTGGAGTGTAGGGTTTATGCCCATCTCTACAGTAAATACAGTGGAACTGTAGGGTTTATGTCCATCTCTACAGTAAATACATGGGGAACTGTAGGGTATATGTCCATCTCTACAGTAAATACATGGGGAACTGTAGGGTATATGTCCATCTCTACAGTAAATACATGTGGAGTGTAGGGTTTATGCCCATCTCTACAGTAAATACATGTGGAACTGTAGGGTATATGTCCATCTCTACAGTAAATACATGTGGAGTGTAGGGTTTATGCCCATCTCTACAGTAAATACATGTGGAACTGTAGGGTATATGTCCATCTCTACAGTAAATACATGTGGAACTGTAGGGTATATGTCCATCTCTACAGTAAATACATGTGGAGTGTAGGGTTTATGCCCATCTCTACAGTAAATACATGTGGAACTGTAGGGTATATGTCCATCTCTACAGTAAATACATGGGGAACTGTAGGGTTTATGCCCATCTCTACAGTAAATACATGTACTGTAGGGTATATGTCCATCTCTACAGTAAATACATGTGGAACTGTAGGGTTTATGCCCATCTCTACAGTAAATACATGTGGAACTGTAGGGTATATGTCCATCTCTACAGTAAATACATGTGAAACTGTAGGGTATATGTCCATCTCTACAGTAAATACATGTGAAACTGTAGGGTATACTGTAGGGTTTATGCCCATCTCTACAGTAAATACATGTACTGTAGGGTATATGTCCATCTCTACAGTAAATACATGTGGAACTGTAGGGTATATGTCCATCTCTACAGTAAATACATGTGGAACTGTAGGGTATATGTCCATCTCTACAGTAAATACATGTGAAACTGTAGGGTATATGTCCATCTCTACAGTAAATACATGTGGAGTGTAGGGTTTATGCCCATCTCTACAGTAAATACAGTGGAACTGTAGGGTATATGTCCATCTCTACAGTAAATACATGGGGAACTGTAGGGTATATGTCCATCTCTACAGTAAATATATGTGGAACTGTAGGGTTTATGCCCATCTCTACAGTAAATACATTTGGAATAGGGTATATGTCCATCTCTACAGTAAATACATGTGGAACTGTAGGGTATATGTCCATCTCTACAGTAAATACATGTGGAACTGTAGGGTATATGTCCATCTCTACAGTAAATACATGTGGAGTGTAGGGTTTATGCCCATCTCTACAGTAAATACAGTGGAACTGTAGGGTATATGTCACATCTCTACAGTAAATACATTGACTGTAGGGTATATGTCCATCTCTACAGTAAATATATGTGGAACTGTAGGGTTTATGCCCATCTCTACAGTAAATACATGTGGAATGTAGGGTATATGTCCATCTCTACAGTAAATACATGTGGAACTGTAGGGTATATGTCCATCTCTACAGTAAATACATGTGGAACTGTAGGGTATATGTCCATCTCTACAGTAAATATATGTGGAACTGTAGGGTATAAATTTTCTCTACAGTAAATACATGTGGAGTGTAGGGTTTATGCCCATCTCTACAGTAAATACAGTGGAACTGTAGGGTATATGTCCATCTCTACAGTAAATACATGGGGAACTGTAGGGTATATGTCCATCTCTACAGTAAATATATGTGGAACTGTAGGGTTTATGCCCATCTCTACAGTAAATACATGTGGAATGTAGGGTATATGTCCATCTCTACAGTAAATACATGTGGAGTGTAGGGTTTATGCCCATCTCTACAGTAAATACATGTGGAACTGTAGGGTTTATGCCCATCTCTACAGTAAATACATGTAGAACTGTAGGGTATATGTCCATCTCTACAGTAAATACATGGGGAACAATTAAAAAACCTTTTTTTAACTATTTATATCGCTAGAAGTATTTTTCTGGATGTGACGATTATGCTTGTATTGTCTGTGAGGAAGTATAATTGTGTAATACTGATGATAATGTCTAGTTTTTGTTCGGTTGGTTTTTCCTCATCATGTTTGACAGTGTACTATTGTATAACAATATACTGATAATTGGCGTCTTACAATTTCTATTAAATTATTTTTAAATAACATCAATCATGTATACAATTTCGTCGTTCAGACGAACCTCTTGATATATCACAAAGTGATAATTTTAAAATCTAACTTATTTTTGTTGACAAACTTATTTACATTATATAGGGCGATTTTTATTATAATAATTAAATGTTTACTAGTGGTAACTTCATGTTTGTTATAACTTTCTAGTAACTGTGAAGCAAATTATTGTACAGGAGTTGATAATCCATCAATATGTATGTATACATTTCAGTAGAAGGTCTCCATGATACCAGACAATAATCTTAATTTTCTGTACTACATTTGCCTGTGTACATGTTATATTTAACAAAGAAAAGTCATTTTGAACAGAG